GTCACTCGCTGTCTCTGTGGGCTGGTTTGTGAGGGCAGAGGCCAAGCCCCCAGGACCTCCCCTCACAAGGTCCCAGGCTGAGCCCTCCTCTCCCACCCCTCCCCCACCCCACCCCCACACAGCCTGCTCCCTCTGCCTCCTGCTGGCCCCACAAAATCACGACTGACGTCGGAGAGCATGGACCCTGCATGGGGAATCATGGCCATTGACCTGTTCCAGCCCAGGCAACCCATGTGACGGCCGAACTGCCCATGGGGGCAGTGGCGCTCATCTCTTTGGGAGCGGATGGTCAGGGCTTTCCCCTCGGAACCCCTGGGGTGGGTGTGAACTTGTAGGTCTGCCTTAGACACTCAGTCAGCCCCAACATAGGAAGGAAGCTGGCCAGGCACAAGCCAGCAGGAGGACGGGCAGGGACGGGGTGCTCTGAGGCTTCCCGGGCCCTGTGGATGCTGGAGTTCTGAGCTTGGGGCACAAGGAGCAGGGTGCCCCGGGGAGGCCTCCCCAGCCTAGAGGCTCCACATCCTTGACCGTCAGCCCACAGATCTCAACCTCCCACACCTCTGCCAGCTGAGAGGTCCCCCTGGTAGGCCCCCACTGAGCCCCTCACTCGGCACCTGCCCTCCATGCCTACAGGGAGGACCCGGGGTTTTGAGGTCAGGAGCTAAGAGGACCGCGCCCATGGCCAACAGTCCTTCTCAGGGGACAAGTGAAAGGCTAGAGCCTCCCCGGTGCTTCAAGACCATGCTGGGTGGAAGGGGTGGGGGTGGGGAGGGAGCACCAGACCAGTGTCCTGAGGACAGAGCTGCAGTCACAGTGAGGAAACCTGCATTGTCACCTGCCTGGGAGGGACGTCTGACTCCGCCCTGGGCTCCAGGACTCTGGAGGTGCAGGGGCTACGCAGGCCAGTCCTGCTGTGGCGCTGGCCCAGGTCAGAGGCAGGGAGTGGCCCAGGCACTCAGAGAGCTGCAGCTGAGATGGACAGTATTTTCTGTGTACTAGCACCAGGACCCCAAGGTCCCCACCTTCGACCCCAAGTGCCTCAGTTTCCCTGTCTGTAAAGGGAGCACTGACAACTGCTTCCGGGAGTAGCAGCAGACGGAGTTGTGGACAGAGGAGGGGCCTAGCACGTGTGGGCAGCTGTGTGCGGGCTGCTGGGTGGCACTGGCTCATCCTCACCCTGACGACTGATGGCAGGGCAGTTGTCACTGAGCCCTCACCGCATGAGCCACGGCTCGGCCTCAAGCAGAGGCTGTCTGGGTGTGAGACGGGACCCAGGAACCCGCGAAGACCCCAGACTCCTGAAAACACCACCTCTGCTGTGCCACCCAACCCTCACCCCCAGGTGGTGCTCACCCAGCAGCCAGAACCCTGGGCATCCGAGACCCAGCAGGAGCCTCAGCCACAGCCTGGCAGCCGGGGATCCCTCTCTGGCTCCACTCCCAGGCTGGAGGCCGAGGGCCCTCCTGGGGACAGCCGCCCACTGCTGACTGGTCCAGGAAGGAGGCCTTTCTCTGTGCCCACGAGACCATACACAGCTGCCCTGGCTAAGCAAGTGCCCAGAGAGGCACTCACAGGAAGGGCACCCAGACAGCCAGGCTCAGAACAGAGAGCCGCGTCAACACCAGGCCCCCACTGAGTAATTCTGGGCCAGACTCAGTTTCCCCAATGCAGGATGGGTTAACAACTAGGTTTGAGGTGGTGTCAGGGTGGTGAAGCCTGGGGCCCGAGAGCAGTTGGAGTGTAGCCGAAGGCAGGCCCTGCCTGAGAACCCCAGCGTGCAGCCTCGGGCTTACTTCAGTTCCACCGTGTGCCCACACTGTACGGACCAGCTCCCCAGGGGGCGGGGAGGGGCAGCAGCTTGTCACTGGGAGGGTGGGTTGGCCCTGAGTCCCAGCCCACGGGCAGGTGCCCTGAGAGGCTGAGCTGAGCGGTGACTGTCGGCCATGCCCTGCAGGTCAATGCCTTTGTGTCCTTCGTCCTCCCCATGGTGGTCATCTCCATCCTGAACACTATCATCGCCAACAAGCTGACCGTCATGGTGCGCCAGGCGGCCGAGCAGGGCCAGGTCTGCACACTGGGCGGCCAGCAGACCACGTTTAACATCACCATCGAGCCTGGCCGGGTACAGGCCCTGCGACACGGTGCCCGCGTCCTGCGTACGTAATAGCAGGGCCCAAGGGGAGGCCCTGGGGTGACCCCAAGTCCGACCTGTCATCAGAGAGCAGGGCCATGCTCGTCCACTCCCTGGTCCAGAGGCCAGCGTCGGTCAGGGCCTCACTGCCCAGCCCCTGTCCCGTGGGGACAGCTGACTGTCCCCAGCCCTTGCCTGTGCTCCTGGTGGCCCCAGGAGCCCATCCCACTTGTCCCCCGACTTTGCTGCTGAGGGTGCCCTGTGCTCAAACCAAAGATGAGGTTGGGATGTCAAGTTGCCTGAGGGACTGGCCAGGGCCCCCCTCAGCGGAGTCCCCTAACATGCTGAGCCCCCCACAACTGCACTGAGCTCCCACAGCCACACCCAGCCCTGTACTCCCCAGCTTACAGAGCCCCGCCCCCCCCATCACTCTGAGCCCCTGCTCCGCCCACTGAGCCCCTGTGTCCAGGTGCCGTGGTCATCGCCTTTGTCGTGTGCTGGCTGCCCTACCATGTGCGCCGCCTCCTGTTCTGCTACGTGTCTGAGGAGCAGTGGACCCCGTGAGTAAGGGGTGGCCCGGCAGGGGAAGGAGGGATGCAGTGTCACAGGGCTGGGGAGGGGCATTGGGAGGGGACTGGCAGGCAGCCAGGCCGGAGCAGAGTCCCCTGAGGAACCTCGGAGGCACCTCTGAGCAGGGACCAGAGCGGGCCATCCCCCCTCCTCCCGGGGAGGCCAGTGTGACAGTCAGCGCAGGGCAGGTCAGCCTCTCAGCTGTGACTACTACAGAGAAGACGTGGCGCCGCGGGGGCCACAAGGCGCCATCTCCCCAGCACCGATGTGAAAACCCGTCGGCAGTTCTGTCCACGAGGGGAGTTCATCTGAACCCCAGGGCTCCTGCAGGGCTGCTGTCTCTGGGGGGCCTGGGTCTGCAGAGGGAGAGGGGTGCTTGGGGGGTATGTGCAGGCAGAAGGGGTGGGAGAAGCCCCAGGATGAAGTATTTCCAGAACCCGGGCTGGTGGCGGAGGGAGACCCTCATGGTAGAGACAAGAACACAGAGGAGGCAGGGTCGTCCCAGGGGACCTGTCCCCCTTCCCCTGAGGGACTAGCATCAGGACCCCACCCCCCTCCAGGAACCCTCCCAGGCCTGGCTTGCTGACAGGGAGCATGTGTTGCAGGGAGAGATGGGGAGCCCTGGAGCTCACGAGAAGACACCCCCATTCCATGAGCCTCAAGCCCAGACACCGGCAGGCCAGGCCTGCTCCTCTGCCCTCCTGTCCCTCGCGGCTGGGGGCAGCAGGTCTGAGCCCCAACCCCACATCCCTCAAGGCCTCGCCAGGCCCTCAGCGGCTCCGTCCCCTGCCTCCCTCTCGGCCCACAGGTTCCTGTATGACTTCTACCACTACTTCTACATGCTGACCAACGCCCTCTTCTACGTCAGCTCCACCATCAACCCCATCCTCTACAACCTGGTCTCCGCCAACTTCCGCCAGATCTTCCTGTCCACGCTGGCCTGCCTCTGTCCCCTGTGGCGCAGGAAAAGACGGCCAGCACTGTCCAGGAAAGCCAACAGCGTGTCCAGCAACCACACTTTCTCCAGCAATGTCACCCGGGAGACACTCTACTAGGGCAGGGCAGAGATGGAGGGCACCCCCGGAGCTGGGCAGGGTCAGTGGGGTGGGGGGGTCTGGCTGACCCGGCGCCATTGCTCCAGCCTCCCCCATGTTCCATCCCTGCCCCCTCCTGTCCTCTTGAAAGCCAGCGAGCAAGTCCCCTGCCTTCCACACACACGCACCCAGACCCCAGCAGCTGCAGCTGCCCAGGGTGGACAGGTGGGCGGTGGGCCCGCCACCGGGCAGTGGCTGTGCTGGCACAATGGCGTCTCTGTTGCTGGCCCGGGAGGGCAGGGTGATCACTGCTGCCTGGCCTGCCTGTGGCTATGGTTCTGGCTGGCTGCCTCCTGCCCAGGGCGTTGGCCCTGACCTCCAGGCCTGCCCCTCCGTCATAGCCCTCCCAACTCCACAGAGGCAATTCTGAGGCAGGGGCTGCCCTCCTTCAGGCCTAGGACTGGGGGGGGAGGGTGCCCATCCTGCTGGTCTCTCCCCCAGGCCCGGTCCACCTAGGAGACCTGGCTCTCAGGTAAGCTGTCCCCGCTCATAAAGGAAATGGGTAAAGGACATGGGCTTGCCCCTCATCCTCGCCTGTCCTGGGGTAGGGGGTGGCGGGGAGGGTAGCATGTATGGGGGCTCCCCCTGCTCTGAGCTGAAGTCCAGCTTTGGCCGCCCCAGGAAGCCCACCCATTCAGACCAAGATGGGGCTGGGCTGCTTGGGAGGAGGAGTGGGTTGGGCTACAGCACCCCCAGAGCCTCAAATGCACCCACCACCAACGGCTGCCAACCAGCAGGCCCGGCCTCTGGGGGTCTCCCCCTCAGGACAGGAGACTGCGGCCCTGGGGGAGGCGGGTCCTGGGACAGCCAGGCAGCAGCAGGGCCCAGCCGGCAGACTCGGGCTGCTTTGTCTCCCTGTGCTCAGCCTCAGGTGCTCCCCCCACCCCCGTCCCCAAGAAGGGACGCTGGCTGAGGGTGGGATCCCCGCAGGAGTTCTGCAGCTGGGCTTCTTGGCTCTCAGTCTCCCTGCCTGTGAGAGGAGAGGCTGCAGGCCACCCCTCTGCTGTGGGCTGTGAGACTCGGGGACCCCGCCCTGCTCCTCTACCCTTGCAGGGGCCCTCTTGCACCTGGGGTTACACATCCAGGAGGGCCTGCTCTGGACAGAGGGTGCCCCATCTCCACCTGGGGCTCCCCAGGAGGGCCTGCTCTGGACAGAGGGCACCCCATCTCCACCTGGGGCTCTCCAGGAGGGCCTGCTCTGGAGAAGGCACCCCATCTCCACCTGGGGTTCCCAGGAGGGCCTGCTCTGGGCAGAGGGCACCCCATCTCCACCTGAGGCTCCCCAGGAGGGCCTGCTCTGGACAGAGGGCACCCCATCTCCACCTGGGACTCCCAGGAGGGCCTGCTCTGGACAGAGGGTGCCCCATCTCCACCTGGGGCTCCCCAGGGGGGCCTGCTCTGGACAGCTGGTGCCCCATCTCCACCTGTGAGTGGGCATCGGAACAGAACAAGAACCGGTCTTTGGAGCAAGGCCCTTGACTCACCCCTCCCACTTTGCATTGAGCCTCAGTTTCCTCGCCTGGTCATTCTGCCCTGGTGGGGGAGGGGGGTACAGCTGTAGGGCGACTTCTCTGTCAGGGTCCCCTCCTCAGGAGAAAGCAGGCTTTCTTCTCCCATGGGGCAGTTCTCCTCGGTCCTGCAGGGTTGCCGTGAGTCTGCATCCCCCCGACGTCCGTGTGTTTGAAGTGACCTGTCCTCTGTCTCAGCTGCCTGCCCTCGATGTGCAAGACCTCCCACAGGGTGGGGGTGGGGGAAGCATCCTGAGCAAAGGAATCGCCGCCTCACAGTTCTGGGGGGCACCCAGCGACTTTGGGGAGCCCCCGCTTCCCCTGCAGCCTGGTTCCCTCCCTCATATGTATATCTTCAGTCTGTGTGCGCGCCCCTCTGAGGGGCTTCATTTCTGTCACCAAGGAAAACCCCTTTCCAAGCTGGCCCCAGGACAGGCACAGGGCCAGGACTCCCGCAGCGCCGTCCTGGGGAGATATTCACCCATCAGGCCCCTGCCACCTCCAGCCCTGGGCCAAGTCCCCTGCCTGGAATGGGAGCCGCCACTCTCTAGTGCCCTCCCCCCGACCAGCGCCAGCAGTCTGGCAGCACACAAGCTGTCTCCAACGGCTGCTCACAGCCCCCAAGTGCCCACGATGTCCTGTGACCACAATGAAGGGGCTGTGCCATGGTGATGCCACTCTCACACCGAAGTGGCCAAGTCCCGGCTCCAGTTCACTCATTCACCAGACACAGAGTCACTCAGCCCTCCCCTGTCTGCTCCTGACAATGTGTGGGTAAAGGGAGGAGGGGCTGCCCCCACGCAGGCTCAGGGGTCCTGGGGTGGGGCTGCTGGGGCCTGACCCAGGCACCTGCAGACCCTGCATTTGGGCCAAATGGGGGCCAACACAGGCGTGACCAGAGCGTCCATCAGGGCTTTGTGGAAACCATATGGACAATTGGCGAGCTCTGGGCACTGCAGAGGGGGTCCGGCCACATCAGCAGGCCAGACACAGCACAGTCCCGGGCCATTTCGGGGTCCTCACTGATGGCCGGAGCCTGGTTACACATCCAAGGAGCAGGATTTTGGGGACAGTACGAGAGCTGGCCAAAGCATAGGGGATGGGCCAGTGTCAAGGAAAGATGTGACTAGCTGCCACAGCCCGGCACTCGGTGCCCTTTCCAAGTGCATCTCTGCCAACGGGCCGGACCCACATCACAGTTCCCTGTCTTTCGATGCTCACGTCACTGCCCCTGGATGCCGAGCCTCCACCGCCCACCCCACCCCGCAGGCATCACTTCCCTGGATGCCGAGCCTCCCCGCCCCACCCCACCCCGCAGGCTCCTGAGCTGGGGGCTGAGGGGGTCTTGGTTCAGCAGAGGGACAGAGGGAGGCCACCAGCTGCAGACCTGTGGCACTGAGGTTGCTAGGCAACGGGAGAGGCGTGGGGAGAGGCTTCCCCTATGTCCCTTAAATATGTCTTGAGGAAAAGCAGCTGCCCCGCCCCCGCTCCCCTGCCCCCCATACCTGCGGCAATTATGCCCTGAATTCCAGTTTTGATCAGAACACCATGGAAACCACGTCCTGGCTGAATTTATGAAAGAAATGAGGGAGTGGAGGGGCCGGGAAGAGTGGAAGGCAAGGAGGAGGGGGCGTAACCGCCGGGGAGGGAGCCCACCCTGCAATCACGCACCAGCACACAGACATGTACACACACATGCACAGGCACACACGTGTGCATACATTTAGCCATGTGCTCGTGCACACATGTACACGTACACGTACATGTAGGTGTGTGCTCACGTAGGTATCAGCACACAGACATCGGCCAACATGTACACGCTCTCACTGCTGCATACATACACATGTGGGCATGTGCCCTCACACATACACACACATCCTGTGACACATGCACACAGCACACTCACGTGCTGACATGCAGCCTGCAGCCCTGGCCCCATCCACCAGGCGGCTGAAGGAAGCTCGGAGCTCTGGGAACTGTGGCTCTCACCTGGTGCCTGGCCCTCCCAGCAGCCCTGTCCTGCCCTGCCCCACCTTGTCCTCCAGGTTAGTGAACAGGGAGCTCATCCTGCACCCTCGGGCAGGCCTGGGGCCTGGCACTCAGGACCATGCACCCACTCACTTCCAGACTGGCAGGTGCAGGGCCCCAGCACCCTCAGGCCTCCTTTGTGCCGAAGCCGCCAGTGCAGAGTAGGGCCAGCCTGGGCCACGGTGGATGCTGAGACCCTGGGGACAGAGGCCTTCCCAGAGCCTGCAGGGCCGAAGGCTGGACTGGAAACATTTCGGAGAAGTGCCCCCTGCCCCACACCATGCCTGGCCCATGGGCCCACTTCTCCATGGGCTGGCCAGAGAGGGAGGGGCCACAGCACGGGTCATCCCTGTGGATGTTTGTAAATCAGAAACCTCCTCTCCTCCAGAGACAGGTGACAGGCATGGGTCCTAAATCCCAGGTCCTTGCTGGAGAGGGTCCCTGAGGCTCAGGGGGTCCCACAGGACTGACTGCTGCCCCAGTAGGACATCAGTTAGCACCCCTCCATTAGCTCTCCTACCTGCACTGCCTCCCCCCCACCCCCACCCCATCTCCAGCAAGAACTCATCCCAAATACAGGACTTACACACGAACCCTGGCCTCTGATTCTGCTTTGGGGAACCTGGTGAAAACAGGGCTACAGGAGTGGTGGGGTGTGCAGGAGTGTGAGACCAGATGTGAGCACCCCAAAGCCTCTTCCCCACAGGGCCTGGCAGACCCTCCATCCACATGAGCGGATGGCTGAGCGCAGAGATAGGTGAATGGGCAGATGGGGTGCACAGCGGGGCAGACTGGTTCATGGGTGGGTGGGTGGGTGAGTAGATGGGTAGATGTCTGATAAGGGATGGATGGACGGGGTGGGGGAGGGGCGGATAGGTGAATGTGTGTGTGTGTGTGTGTGTGTGTGTGTGTGTGTGTGTGCCTGGTGTAGGTGAGGGATGAATGGAAGGAGGAGAGGAGAGGGAAGGTGCTGGGGAGGAAGGGGAAGGCCTGCCGGAGGAGACCCCAGGAGCAGCCTAGACGGGGTGGGAAGGAAGCATGAGGAGCTTCCTGGGTGCGGGAGTGGCCACAGTCCAGTAATTCCCTCCCAAGGCGGGCTAGCACTGCACCTTGGCGAGGTGTGTGTGTTGTCTCACCAACGGTCACACTGTCATCCAGGGCATGGCACCCCAAGGGGGCGGGGTGGTGCCAGGAGGGCATATGGAGCCCTCTTGGGGAGGGGTTCAGTTTTGCTACCCAGGCTTACGGTGAGCCTGCCCAGAGACAGAAAGGGGTCCTCCCGACCACCAGGAGAGAGGAGCCAGGCGTGGGCGTGTCCTTTGGACTGAGGCCCTGCGGTGAGGCCCTGCTGGATCTCGGAGGCCGGAGGGGCAGCCGGTGAAGGATGCAGACTGGGACTGGGAGGCAGAGAGACCTCAAGGGCAAGGGCTGGCCAGCCCGGAGACAGCAGATGGCAAGTCGGGCTTCTGCCCCCCAGCGGGAAAGCTAAGCCCCTGCAGGCCAGTTCGCTGAGGGCGTGGGGGTCTCTGGGCACTTGAAGCAGAGCACAGAGCCCCTGTGACACTCAGCCAAGCAGGCAGAGGCTGGGCCAAGAGGTCCGGGCCAGAGAGGCTGCCTGCAGGCCCAGCTGGGAGCAGGCTGTCCTGGCCAGAAACACCACCCCTACAGACTTCTGGGTCTGAACCGTAGGCCTGTGACCTCCCTACACACACTCCCCCTCACTACCTCCAGCGATCTGACTCTGAAGACCGAAGAGGACTATCCCTGGGGCTTTCTGAGGCTGTCAATCTTTCCGACAGTAGAAAGCTTCGTCTTCTCCTTCTGAACCGCCGGCTTGTGGTTAGCAGCCCCATACGGGC